GCAGCCGAGGGAGACGCAGAGAAAGCCCCAGAGTACACGGGCGGCAGGACCGCGAGGTCCCACAGTCTGTGTACTCTGGGGCAGCCCCGTTCGTAACTGCGGATCCGACATAAGTCGGATCCACGTAAGTCGGGGACTGCCTGTATAGTAGCCTAAATTTGTGTCTATCACAAGAGCACTGCATAATTTACTAGAAAAACCTTCACACAGCAATTCCCATTAGGAAGTTTTTCTTTCGATAATGCAGTTTTAAATGAAGTTAACTGTAAGGAAGCTTGCTCCCCAAAAGGCTTTATATTCACTGCAATATTTGAAAGACTGAGAGTAGATCTGTGTGGTTCTGTATGAAGAGGTATAGGAAAGAAATTTATTTCTTACCATTATATGGAGACAAATGGTGGCTGCACTGTTTCCATAATATTTAACAAACAGATCCATGATTACATACCAATGTTATAAATCAGGCCAGGTCGGTTTCCTGGCTGGATTACTTTAAGGGCTCGGACACCGCTGCCTCCATCCAGTGAGAATCCCTGACACCAGCAGGGCATAGCTTCAGGGTGGATTCCTTTCCCAATTCGCATTGTACAGCTAAGGATAGCGAAAGAACATGTTGATTTATTTATCTAAATGAAGAGTTACGTTTCAGAACAATACTTTGGTGGTTTTTACACTGAACCCAGATATTTAAACTATGCACAGTAACATAGACACATTAAAAACCATACACAAATTCTCTTTTCTTGTAATAACATTACAAATTTTATCCAATATTCTTTAAGAATCTTGCAAACATCTATGAAAACTCAATGGCTATAGGAGATAAACTAGGAAAGATAGGAAAGATTCTGTTGCTTACATTTTACTTCAAAAAAATTTAAAGTAAAATGTATGCAACTATAAACAATTTTCAAATCACATTTTTCGAAAAAGTAGTAACCAACTAGTATTTTTACCTTGTTTCCATTTTTTTCATGATGAGCCAGTTAAACTTTTTAATAGTCAGCAAGTCAACAATAACAACAACAATCTCTACCACAACTACAAAGGCCTTGTATAGCTCTTTTTATTAGTGGCCAAAGCACTTGAAGCGGCTGTCATTAGCTCAATAAAATGTTGCAAATTCAAACTATTTTTCTTCCTGAGATTAGGTTCAACTTTGTATTAGAGAAGTCCAGTTTCTCAGATCACATCACAAAAAAATCACCACCGCAAGTGGCAGTATCCATTATCTTTCTGACAATCTCAGCAGAACAGTCTAGGGATGAAAAAACCTTGGAGAAAATGTTTCCTTTATCAAACTGGAAAGAAAAAGGTCATGATTTTTTTCAATATATATTTTCACCAATTATTAAAAATAAATGGTCTTTAAAGAGTGAACCGTATTTCCAGAGCAAAATCCATTAAGAAATTGCCTGATAGGCTGCTCTATTTGTAGCATTCTTTGCAATCATATCTGGAGCTCAACGATTAGTTGATACATGCAATAGCAGATTCTGCCAAAGAACAACTATGTATAACTATGCAGGAAGGCTGTGCAGGGATCAGCTTCATGATGTATGAGAATTAAATGGCTCCAAAATCCTGCCATTCCCTTGTGTATCGGAAACATAGCAGTTCTGCTGCAGGCAGTACCTAACTGATATATGAAACAGGTGATTTGGGGCAGTTTTAGAGGCTGATAGAATCATAGAATACTAGGACTGGGAGGGACCTCGAGAGGTCATCGAGTCCAGTCCCCTGCCCTCATGGTATTATGATAGATACGCTCAGAACAAGAAGGCAAAGGGGGGAAGGGGAAATCAGCACAGAACTAAGCTACGAGTCACTGAAGCAATAATAAGCTACTACAAATTACAGAGACTCCACTATTTCCCTTTTCTGCGTTTAAAGATTTTTCAATAGATGTATATTTTTATAACTGTGTGTGTGTTTACATCATTTAAAATTATCTCTGCTTTTTGAAAAGTTTAATTAATTTGTTAAATTCAAATACAAAAAGGTAGAATTGTTTTAAATACACTTTTTGAGTAACTGTTTGGTTTTTATCCAAGATTCCTATTACTTTGGGGTTTTTTTACGCTAGTCAAATTATTTTAGTTGTAGTAAGGACATTATCAGAATAAGCAGTCTGGTATATGTCCTCAGGAAAGAGAGACTTTGGATTTTCTTGCTCTACCAAGTTATGGGGAAAAAAGCATGATTTCCATATATGTAAAATAAAGCCACGGCAGACTGCATTTATAATACAACTAGCCAACCAAATGATTTGTTTTCAGTATCAAATGTCTAAATAGGGAGTAAGCTCATATCTCAAACTCAATACTTTATCAGATCATCCGGCCTATGAAGGATTTTTCCTACAGGATATTCGCACTTAAATACCAGCTGCTGATCCTTTCACTAATTATTTTAATTCTCTGTAAGCATTTTCCCTTCCCATCAAATTACTTACAAGTTTGGCTGTTCTTTGTCAGCGTAACAGAAGAGAAGTGGGCTCAGGCTTCTAGCAAGCTCATGTTCTTCAAACTGTCCTGCTGCATCTGTCTTCGCATTGTCCTGTCTGAAGATCAGTGGTAACCCTTTAAGAAAAAAAGAATCATAAATGAAACTTTAATTTACACTTAAATTTCAAACCAAAAATACTTCATCCAGGACCAGGGCTAATATTATTAATTTTGAAAGTAGGAACGATAATAGCAATTTTAACGTTTAAAGAACAATTTGAAATGTTTATGTAATATGTAACCCACTGATCAGCACATTGTATATTTCACTCTGTCTGATTGACAGAGGTTATGAGATTGTTACAACGCCAAGCTACACAGCCTGGATTTTTAGTTCAATCTGAAGAGTGTGATGCTTTCAACTTTGGAGTTCTCTGCTTCATACGTTTGTGTATTAGTGCCATCTGGGCCATCACAATACAATTACTGCTTTAGAATTCAGTTACTTAATGCAGATTCTTCTGTATTTGAAAAACAAATTCTAATATTTTATTTTGATTTATACAGAGCTAACCAAGCTTTTAGGTACTTTATTACATTTAAAAATGCATAACTGAGGTTTTCTAAATCTTCATTGTAACAATTCATTTATTTAATTGTGTATAAGACCTTCACAATAAGTATGGATATTTACTATTTGTTGCAGCCTATTTTTTGCAACTTCATTTTCTTTAATCCATTTTCAAAAGTTACATGTGGTTGCACAGCAAATCAACACTAAATGGAATCCTCATTTCCAGGTGAATTAAACATACCTGTTTTGTTCTTTAGCCAATATGGTGCAGAAATGAATATTTTAAGAGACCCTTCAGCTCGACATACAATCCTTATGGTTAGATTTAGTTGTCGCTTGTTGGCATCATACAATCGCATTCGAACAACATAATTTTGTGTCCCAGGAGGAATCAACAGCTCCTTGCACAGTGGGAAATTTTCCAGAGATACCCCTAAAAAACAAACACACACAAAAACAAGTTTTCCTGACTGTTCTGAGAAAGTCAAGTCTTCCTGGAATATTTCATACAGCTTTCACTAATTTTACTTCCTTTTAAAACTACCGGTTTTAACTTTCACATGAGCTAAGACGTTACAATTGTCCCAGTCCTCAAATTAAATCTCATACGATAATATATTCACTTAGAATATTTTCCCAGCTTAGCCACTGTTGAGAAAAATAATTCTGTCATAGCTATCTTCCTTCAATATCAGTATTTCTAATGCACTTTCCCAAGCACAGACGAAAATTTAAAACTAAGATGTTTGTTAATAATTATTTTAAAAAATAAAGCAATTTCTTGTGGCAATAAAAGTAGCTGATGAGAAATTTCACAAGAACATGAGCACCTGAAATGGAGAGACTCGATGAGCTACGAATACAACTCGAGAAGAGCTCTCTCATACCAGCCTGCTGTGCATTAATTATCTGTGTGGATCCTGAACCTTTTAGAGCACAGCCATAAGGTCCACATAGCCAGTTAAGGTGCAGCAGCTAGTATGAGGTAGATTTAGAACAAGTTTTTGTACCGCCAAGCCCTCATAGTACATTAACATCAGAAACTGGCCTAACTGGGAAACTTAACATGTTATACATTTATTGTGTTGCAATTTTGTGATTTTATTGCAAGTTTTACAATATTAGGTATTTTTCTTTGAAACCCAACTCCTGCAATGAAGTGATTTTGTGAGAGAGATGGCTTTAATTAAGGGGGGGAAGGAATAAGTTTCTAGTCCTAATGGTTACATTAAAAAAAAAAGGTCTTGTGACGTGAGTATATTCCATAAGTGTACCATAAAGGCTCAGAAACCAGAAAATATAGAACCGCCCCCCCCCCCAAATAATTTCTTTTAAAACTAATCTCCTGATGGGGGAGGGGGGTGAGGGAGAGACGACTGGCTCATGATTTTTTAATTCTTAGGTTGCCAATACTGCAAATATAAGGAAAAGAATGTTTGGGAAATTTTACACACATTTGCACCTCTAGTGCCATTAGCTCACAGACATTTATCTTCCTCCCTTCCTCCCCCTCTGAAATGTGATTTGTCCTTTTCATATGTGTTCATTTTTTTAAATTGTATCCTTTGGTATATATGGTTGTGACTATTTTCTTCCACTATTTGATCTGAGGAAGTGGGTCTGGCCCACGAAAGCTCATCGTCTAATAAACCATCTTGTTAGTCTTTAAAGTGCTACATAGTCCTGTATTTTGTTTCAGCTACACCAGACTAACACGGCTACATTTCTATCACTATTACACACACATACACTTTGTGCTTCACATGGCATTTGTCTCTGATCTTTCATGACAAGCCCCCTCCTGACTAAATTCTGTACAGGATATCCAGTAAGAAAGATGCATTTTTCTTTTCAGTTTAGAGTTCAATAAGACATGTTAAAGTAGAGAAGGACATGTGAGTAGAGAACGACAAACATATTTTGCTATAAAGACTGGACAAGGAGAAGCTATTGACTCATTAAAGACACCATTTCTTTCAACTGTTGTATCTCAAGGTCAAGGCTGAGCTTGCACATCGAAGTCTGCTCTGCACCTCTGGAAATTTCAGCATCAGTTTCCTCCTGCTCCCAAAATTTGTCCAAGACCTCCATAGTTTGTTGGCCTGAAATAGTCACTTCCACATCGGAAGATTAATGTGGCAACCAAATGAATCTGATAATTTCTCCCCTTTGAGTTGCGTATGCACGCAAAGCCTTCAACCCACCTACTAATGAGCGGTACACTGATCATGCCAGCTACTCAAATCCTTCCAAATCCTTTTGATAACAAAAGCCTTTAATGTTATGTCTACTCAACTCGTCACCAGTGGCTAGCCTGTGTCAGCCAACTTAGGGTACATCTAAACTACAAGCTCCTGTTGACAAAGAGTGTCTAGACTACATCCAGTTCTGTCGACAAAGCAAGTCGCTTTGTCAACATGACAGTGTAGATGCAATAACACCTTCTGTCGACAGAACTCTGTCGACAAAAGGCATTATTCCTCGTAGAATGAGGTTTACCGCTGTCGACAAAACTGCAGAGTTCTGTCGACGTTATGTCGACAGAACTCAGCAGTAGTGTAGACGCAGGTATAATTTTGTCGACAGAAGGCCACTTTTTTGGACAAAACCCTGGTGGTCTAGACACACCCTTCGGCTTGGGTTGCAGAACTGCTGTATTGTAGGTATGTAAAAATGAAATATTAACCGTGTAAGCAATCAGAATTCTATCCATTCCATGGTTAGCCATGAGGCAGCCAGCCACCCCCGCCTGGGTCCATGCAGAGTTTTACCATTAACGGTTAACAAATAAGCATAAGCCTCTTACAGCCCTCCTGCATTGTTGAGCAACATTCCAGGCTCAGGATGGAGACTGAACTGTGGAACTCTCAAAACTTACAGGGCACTAAAGTGTGGAATGCAGCACAGCAGTGAAACAACCCCCCAGACTTAGCCCAAGTCATCGGCACAGTCCAGCTGTGGGTGTCTAGCTGCTGTGTAGATATATCCTAATACTTCAAGCTATTGCACAGAGGGTATAAGAAAGCCCACAGTTATTTTACACTGGACTTGACAAAATGTAGGCATGTCCATGACAAAATACCATTTTGAATCTGACAAATTAAACTACTACAGCTTTTTTTTGGCATCATTTCCTTTGTGCATTGGGAGCAAAAGGTAAGAGGGGAAAAGGGAAACAAATCAGATTTTTATCATTTTCAGATAATTCATTTTTCTAATTGATGTGTGTTTGATGAATATTTGCATAAGAAATGCAACAGCCCAATGAAAACATCACATTAAAAAGCTTATTTTTCTTTTTGTTGCCACAGACAACAAAACATGCAGTTATTCTGAGCTTCTCTTAAAGTAGCAGCAAATAACAATGCCCCTGTAATACTTTACCAAGCTCAATGTTCTGAGATGTATCAGCCGTATGCAACGCTGCCTCTTTGCCAGGTTTTAGTGTCCCGTTAATTGGCATCCCTTTAACATAAAATTCGAGTTCACAAGGTAGCAAGTTACAGATTACCACAGTTGGCAAGAGATAAATGGTATGCCCAGGCTGTCTGAAAATCTGTTTAGCGCTGTCAGAAAATATGTTTGAGGGCATGTAATCTGGATAATTCTCTTTCTTTATAGCCACACAAAACCTATGAAGAAAGACAGATTTGTGTGAAAAAAGAGCAATGGATTGAATGGAATAGTTGTATTTTGGCTCTCCAAGCACAAGACTGAATCTCATGCCATAGTGCAATTTACACAATTCATAACCTGTATAGCATTTAGAATTTATTCTCCATAATAAACATTTTAATTTGATTATAAAAATATTCCAATATTTTGCACTTATATTGCCTCTCATCAGATACTCTCAAAACAGTTTACAATTACACCTCAAAACAAGTCTGAACTTCCACAATTATAGCAGAATCCTTCTTAATCTACAAATCTGATCATCCTCACAAAAAAATATCTACACTTCTTAACACATATTCAATAGCAAAGTGTAGTATATAAAGAGATCACAAAGTATTAAACTTTTACTTTTAAAAATATACTAGTGGGCTGTGCCCCATACTTGCTATGCTTGCCAACCCCTACCTCTCATGGCCAGAGAACGTGAAAGATGATGACATGATTCTGTCGCACGGCAGGAAAAAAAATGTATATATAGAGAGAGTGATTACAGTGCATATACTGGTATGCTATGAAATACTGACTACTGAAAACTACATTATTCCTGTGAAATAAATTAAAATTACATTCTATAATGCAACTGTATTTTTGTTTTTCGTCTTTTCCCCACTCTACCCACTAAATCATACTGTCTTTTGGGATTTAAATTAGATACTCAAATGAGGAAGTAAAATAACACTTCTTCAGGTAACACGCTGTTAGAAGTACTCATATCTTTTAATCAGTTAACCGGTTAAAGAATTTTTTTTTTAACAATTTGCCAATTAAATGCGATGTCACATCCCTACTCAAAACAGTATATATTTTTAAAAAACGGAACTAAAAATTGATGGTCTGATGAAATGACAACCATTCGCTAAGCAAAGGTGATTTCCTTCAACTGTTCTTAGGAATGTCACATATAAAGCCTAGAGAGACGAGGTGGGTGATGTAATATCCTGAAATATCATTCAGTGTTCATTATGTGTTGACACGGGGATTAACATAGCGTACTTAATATTTTGGACAATGTACTTGGATCATAGGCAACAATCCTGCACTGGCAGGACAGCAGACTAGGTAACCTAGCAGGCTATTCCCATCTCTAATTTCTCATATTTTATTAATTAATAAGGTTAATAAGAGACACTTCACACTTTTGTTATAGAGATGGTCAAAAGCAGACATAAGAAATATTTTGCTCTTACTGGTTTATGGTTTCTAATAAGATTCTGTACCCTTCTTTGATGTCAGCAAAGGAAACAGTCACAGCCAAGCTAATGCCAATGTCTGTTTCCTGCTCCTGTAGTGGCAGTTTATTGAAATAAATTAGGAGGATAATTTGTAGCTCCCTACCTTTTTATATCTAGCTACATCCTGTGGGATGGATTGGGAATAGAAACCTGATCCTTTTCCTTCCAGTCATCATGGAAGTGCCCCATTTCCTATTTTTAAATACCCTGAGGATTTGACCTCATTTCAGGAGGAGGGATAGCTCAGTGGTTTGAGCATTGGCCTGCTAAACCCAGGGATGTTATCTCAATCCTTGAGGGGGCCATTTACAGATCTGGGGCAAAAATCTGTCAGGGATTTACTTGGATCTACTTGGTCCTGCCATGAGGGCAGGGGGGTGGACTTGATGACCTCTCAAGGTCCCTTCCAGCTTTATGAGATGGGATAATAATAATATATGGAGATATACCTATCTAATCTTCCTTGTATAACTACAATAGTGTCACATGGAAACACTTCCTATTATTCTTAAGGCGTCAAACAAAAACAAAACATAACCAAGGTTTATCTCCAAATAACCGGTTTCCCATTCCTCTTTACTTCTTTTCACATTAATTCCCTTACCAAGAATTGTTAAAAGTTATAGCAAAATATTTAGCCTTGTAAGGTCTTAATTACCTGAAAAATCGGCTGTTTTCAGATTCCATTGAATGGCACTCTCGTTTGCTGCTACATGTCTCTGCTGCCTTCTGCACGTTAGTCCAATGAATGGGAGTCTTACAGAAAAAGACTCCCATTCCTTTTGGCCTGGCCTGCAATCGCCAAGATGTAAGGTGTAATGGAATAGCAAAGGAATCCCCTGGCATTACTGCTGGAAGCACTACAGGTTCTGCAACCAAATCACAAAGGAAAACACATACTTCAGGTTGGGTCATTTGGTCAAACTAGAAATAATTTCTTCAGTTACAGACTTTGTACCACACAATTAAGAAAAGCAGCAGCAACTTTCCCATGATATGTAGTTCATCCAGTTCAAATGCCAAACTGTTGGTTAAAGTGCTCCCAGGCCCACTTATGGAGGGCTGGGTGCAAAGGGAGGAGCTGCCCCAGGACCTTGCAGTTCAAAGGGGTATGGGGCTCCCAGTCGCTGTCGCTGCTACTGCACTGAGGACTGAGGGGAGGGATATGCCATGCTCCAGGCAGTGAGGAGGGCTGTCTGCCCCCGTCCTGCCACTTACTCCTGAGGTTCCCCATCTGGGAACACAGAGCTGGGCCCCTCTCCACCTTGCCAAAGCGCCTGCAGAGGCTGTCGGCTCCCCTAAGTGTTCCTAACAGTGAGGCAACAGCAAGAAACCAGTGGGCTGAATTCCATATAAAATGGAAATGGATAAAAAATTAGCTGGAGTTCTAACTTTGTCTCTCTGGCTGCCTGGGTTAAAAGTTCCATTTTAAGTGGGTGTGGAAAGAAAAGTTACTCATCTATTACTAGAGTTCTTCCAGCAAATTGTCAAAACAGATCCACACAGAGCCAAAGATCAAAACTCTCTGCCAAGTTCCTGGTTAGAAATGAAGTACTTGTGTCCTCAATCCGAGGCATATTCTATACATGGACTCATTAAGAGGTGTGGCCCTCCTCGTAGCCTCATCTCCTCCAGTTCATGTAAAATGCAAACTGAAACTCCCTTTGGTTCCTGCAGTTTAGCTTACAGACCATTTCACCCCTAATTAGGGCTATCTTGTCAGCACAAGCAGAGTTGAAATTTGTAAGATTTACCATCTCCCCCTTTTTCTCAGCTCTTCCATCCCCCTCTAGAAACAAATTCAGAGGTTTTTCAGAACTTTGGTTTCAGGAATCAGACTTCATTGGGGTAATCAGTTCTTCTGCCATTATGGTCAACATAAAGATAATTTGGTTTAAAAATGTTCAAGAGTATGGATAAGAGGCCACTATATCACTCCCTCAGAGCTGCATGAAACACTTGAAAGTACAGATTTCATTTCTTTCCTAGTACTAGCATTTGCCTTGCTCAGGTGAAAGAAGACTATCACATAACTTTTAAAGAAAAAGAAGCAGCCGCCTCTCTCGAATGACACAAATATACTGCAATGTGTTTGACTATGATGATGAAAATCTTAGAAGTTGGGTAAATAATTTATTGTAGGAAACAGCTTATGTAATCTTGATTTTAAGCAAAGAAAAGAATGTCTGAGGGCAGGTAAACAATGCACAATACTTTACACATTCCTTTCTTCTGCTTGGAAAGAAGAAGAGAAAAGAATGTCACACTAACTTTAGAAGAGCGTAACACAAAACTCTTGTTGTTGCTTCAGATTTTATGTTTCTCCAAAAGAAATATCTCTACTTCCTTCTATATGTGTAATTTTTTTGATGGCTTCTTCTAGACATGCATTTTCACTAATGAACAGGACAAGAAAAAATTTGAGACAACCAAAATTGGGGCCATCATAAATGGTTCTCATGGTAAGGATTTTCTCACTCATATGTTGCAGGACAGTGTGGCGACAATGTTCTCAGACTTACTGTCAGGCGCTGAAGGGCTATCCAGTCTTAATTCCATTGGTATTTCCAGCCTATTTTTCACAATCAATGCAGAGCGCACAGTTATCACCTTCCGAGCACTTCCTTCCATGGTAACATCAAATACCACCCGAACTGGAGGCAATGAAGAAAACTGCAAAGCCGTTTAAAAAGTTTAGGTATCAGAAAATGAAATGATATCTAGCAAAGGAATGCCCAAACTTTGCTTGTGAGTAACAGGTGCCATACCTAATTTATACATTTCATATTTAAAAAAAACTCATATTTATGTGTACTTATATTATCTTTGATAAACAACATTATTTGGCCTTGACAAACTAAAAGAAAAAGGGAATGAAAATAAAACCACAAGGAACCCTCTAGAAAGCAATAGCAGATTTCTCCTGCTTAAAAAAAAAAGCTCTTTATGGACTGCAATAGAAAAGTAGCATCCTGGGCATTCCAGAGCTAAGGTGTTAGAAGCATTTTATTAGTATGTTTCATGTTTTAAAAAAAATTCAGAATAGCCTGTAATAAGTCAAGGTTCTGTTTGGTCTCATTTTCCTTAGTACTTCTCACTGCTTTCAATCATTGCCCTCTGCACACACAGCCAGTAAATATCTTTAGATATCTACAGTGACACATTGCTTTTCAATATATACACAATGTACTATCACAAAATCCTTAGTGACACTATAAACTTTAAAACAATTAATTTTTCCCTTCACACTACAGAAACAAAAAATCCATACTATATATGGACCTAAAGAAAAACTGCTACAGTATTATTTTAAGATACTGTATCCAAAACATGCTGACAATGTACTCGTATTTGAGTGAGAACGGACTGTCGGTCCAGGATTTTAAACTTCCATTAATTTTATTAAAACAAAGTAAAAAAACAAACCTAACACAATGAAATGCACATAGTTTTGCTGAAACTTGCCAGGAGCATATTCAGCATTCTGCAAGTCTAAGATCAGAAGGAAAACACAGAAGTATTTTATTTTTTTAAACGTAGCCCCCATTCTGGGAAGAAAGTTCACAAGAAGGTTTTATTTAAAACAACCGAGACACCTCAACTAAACTCACCACCCAACTAAAGCGACTCAAAATACTAACCTCAGTTATGGGGTTAGTAATTTACTCAAAATTTGCCATTTCAAAACATCATGTCCTTAAAGAAGAATTCTAAAGATTATGAAGAGAAAGATTAATATAATCTTTCTAACATGTTATGTAATAGTATTTTTATTTATTCTTAAAAGTTTTGCTCTTAAATATTTCTGGTGAACTTTGCACTCAGTTCAGGTGAAAGACAAATAGTTCTGCATTTAACCTCATGCTCCCAGCATTGCTGACGACAAGAACAGCAGGATAAAATGAGCAATGCCAAGATCTCTTAGCTTCACCGTTTAGGATTGTTGTTTTTAAATTGCAACAACAATAAAAAAAAATTCTGGCAGGCAGAAATTAACACATCTTTTTCCTAGAATTAGTGGCTCTCTATCCAAGAGTCTTTCAAAGATAGCGTTTGGGGAAACAGTGCTCTTCTATCAAAATACAGTTTGCCATTGTGCCGATTAATTTTTAGATAATCGAGCCATCATAGGTCTTTTGTGGTTATGGCACTTGCTATTATCAATGTTCCCTTCTGTTGCAGGTAGCTAAAATGCCAAACTTTAGCTCCACAGGATATGATCGTCAAAGGACATGTTCCAAAACTCACTGTAAAGCCATTGAAAATTTCCACTAATGGGATTTAGATTGGGCCCTAAGGAAGTAAAAGTGTCAAGGGGAATTTCCATTCAGTTTGCTTATGCCTCAGTTTTCTCCCAAATCTAATTTTGTACCCTAAATGTCACACTTTTAAAGAGAATTTTATGGTGTGAAGATGTGTCCAGAATCAGTGTCTACTGAGACCATCAACTCTGTGGGTGAAGGGCCCTTTTTGCACAATACCTAGAACAATCTAAGGGTGGGACCTTTAGAAGTTACCACAATACAAATAAATAAATAGGTTAGAGACAGAGAAAGAGGAACTTGTCACATCAAGTGGCTTTTCTTATATTTCCATTGTCTAATGGTAAACATGTCAAGCAGTGCCAGCTTGTAAAAGATTTGTTTTCTTTTTTTGTCTGGTGCTGATTAAGGTGCCAAAGTAGATGATAACAGAGCTGAGAAGACAGATTGCAATGGTTCTTAAAACCTTTTGATGATTAGTAATGGCTCTGGAACAGCCTTCCAAGAAAAGCAGTGAGGGCAAAAATCCTAACTGGCTTCAAGACTGATCTTGATAAGTTTATAGAAGGGATGACATGATGAGACTTTTTACAATGGCATGTAGCCAATCTGTGACTGCAAGCAACAAGTATCAATGACTGGTGATGGGACACTAGATGGCAAGGGCTCTGAGTTACTACAGAGAATTCTCTCTCAGGTATCTAGCTACTGGGTCTTGCATACATGCCCAGTACTTAAGTGATCACCATATCTGGGGTTGGGGAGGAATTTTCTATTACTATTGGAGTGATGTTCAAGATGCTCCCTAACCCACTATAATGCTATTTCACTAGCTTAGTGGACTGTCTGCCAACACAAAAAAGGATGGAAGTTACAATTATACAAACACTTGTGGTATTTGGGAGAGCTGATGTTGGTGATTCTCCATTTGAATGTGGAAGAATGATGAACAGCTTTGATTGGTTTCCTAAATTATTATTACATAACTATTATTGTTGTACACACCTCCAGTACTTGAGAAATGAAATTATTTATAAATAATCCAGTGTGCAAATAGATCATTCCACCTGGTGGTGCCTGAGGTGATAGAGAAGCAGCAATATGTGATGCTATTGCAAAAATTAGTATGAAATGAGGCGAATCACACACAAGAGTAAGGGTCTTCAGATGTAAGAAGGAGGAAATCAGTTGCAATTGCAATCACAGTGTTAAGGAGGAGGAAATCAGTTGCAATTCCTTGGGGGAGCTCTTATTTTTGAGACAGAACAGGGAAAACAAAACTTTCCCTGTAGAGGAAACAATGGAAGAATAGAAGTAAGCACACATTAGGTTCAAGGGACTGCTACCCTCACCAGGACCTCTCACTACACCCCCAACGGAGTCTGATTGACTCTACGCCTGGAACCCCTCCTCCGCAATGAGCACCTACCTGGACCCCCTGCAGATAGTTATGTGAGCTACCTGCATCCAGAATGCCCCACACCTGGGTCCTTCCACACTAAATCCTTCCATACTTGCATGCTGCTAAGCTGAGCATGTCTGCCCACATCTGGTGTAGGAGGGCAGGGCCCAAGAGTGTTTCTGGAGCTTGGTCCTTCCACTGTCAGTCTCACTACTGATTCCCTGTCCTCAGTAGGGAGGCTGTACGGTCATCTCTCACCTCTGAGTAGCCAGTGACACGGTGCTCCTTATTGCCATGCTGGAGCTTCCATGTTTTTATTATTGATAAACAAAATTTGCAGGATTTTAAAATTTTGTGTGCAGAATTTTTATAGTTTAAGAACTCCTGCAGGAGTAACACTAACTTCCATAATCAGATAAGCATCACTACATGGATACAGCATGCACTAAAGTCTATCAAACGTTTTATAAAGAGAGAATAATCATTACGATGTTTACAGAATTAAACTTCTTTAATTAATATATGTCTAAAGGAATAAGTAAAAACAATGTACTCACATAGACATGGGGATGTATTATATTTGTTCTACTGATGGGGCTCCCAACCTAACGAAGAATAAAGTAAAATTTATTAATCAAAGCATCTTGTAAACTGCTAGTGTCAGTTCTAACAAATCTCACTGCTCTTCTTTGTGAGAAGCAAAGCAAAACTGTAGTAAATGGTCTTCCAGATACTCTCCAGAGCTTTGGAGAAGTGTCAAGATTAGCTACAAAAAGTAACACATGATTATTTCCTGTATTTTGTAATTCTATTGTTTTGTAGAAAAGTAAAGGGAGGAGCTGCCAGAAAAATGTGACAGTATAAGAAATATACACACAGTAATCTCAACAACAGAGTCGCAGTCTTGCACTCCCTGGTCCAGCAACTTCCATGGTCCAATATGATTTAGTTAGCTGGATGTCCACTTATCATGAATGTGGCCAAGTTTCCTGCAGTCTCATAAAAGTTTGCTGTCAGCCACCACTCCTGGTTCTCAAGTGTTCTGTGCTGTTATTTAGCTCTAATTTACTCCTAAATGTCTTTTAAGAGCCCAGTAAACAATAGAGGTGTTGGTAATGCTGCTAGACAATAATGACCTTCTACGATTCGGCAAATTCTCTGGTTCGGCACCAGTCAAGGTCCTGAGGGTGCCGGATTAGAGAGGTTCAACCTCTTTATATGATATGCAAATCTTAGGACTGCTGAAAATATTTTACAACCCCTTCACCCCAGAACTCCTCTTGAATAGTGATTGGCCCTCTCAATAATTTTATAAAATTACAGCTTAGTTCTGCATGACGTCAAGAGACCATCAACTCTTCATTTCACTGATGGCTCAGCAACTTGCAGCCTGGGGCCTTGGAGTCTCATTACTTACTCCTTGTACCTACAGGATTACTTTGGCATTGATGCTGAGGCCTAATGGCAGTCTGTGGGCTAGCCCAATTAAATTTTTGTATTCACAAAAGATTTTTGTCAAAGCAACCACACCCCAGTGCAACCACAGAATTATATACAATTATCAATATAGTTTATCTTCAATCAATTAACTATGGAAAGTAGACCTAAAAAGCCTGCAATAGAGCAATAGGACACAGGAGCAATATTATTGTGATTCATAATTTTAATAATGGATCCATGACACTATAACGAATCCAATATTTCTGTCTTTCTGAGCTTTGATTCTCTGTTGAGCAGAGGCTAACTTGGATAGTTATCATATGTATGTTATTTTTGCAGCTGGTAACTGACCCAAGATCACTAAACACTCATTTTGAGCTGACTAAAAGAAAGAAGGTTCCATAAGTGAATAGCTACTGCTTTATCAATAAAATTTTGAAGAAAAGATTTCCCAAGTCAACATTTTGGAAAGACATCATTGAAATATATTCAGAATCAGAACTTACAGTAGAAGACGATGTGTTCTTGTCAGGTGCTGCATATCGGAAAAAGGTTCCAACTTTGTCTACTGACACTGGACTAACTTGTTCCCAGCCATTTACTCTCACTTGAAGCTGATGAATTCTTAGATCATGTGTGTGCCTGTTAGTTCAGATAAGTCAAATTAAGGCATCATCCATTTCATTAAGACACCATCTCACAAAGGTAAGCCAAAACAATAATTAGAACCAGTATAGTCTGGATTCATCTGTCGCATTAAGGGATTATTAGTGCTCGACTACTCAAATGTAAAAATATAGTTTTCTATTTCAAGAGTAAATTAAAAAGCACATTTTTTTTAAAGAGGTAATATCCAATGTCAGCTCATACAAACTATGCAAATACAACTACAGCCCACATGCAGTGTATGGAAAACAAAAAATAAACTTGTTAAATACTTGTTAGTATCCTCTGGTTTTAAATTCAACTGTTAGCCAACATACATTCTTCACAGAATAAGGCAGTCAAGCAAACTGACAATCTTTTCTCCCAAGTTTTTCTAGAAATACAAGAAATACCACTTTTACAAAATCAAAATGAGTAAAATAACGTATAGAAATAATTCTGTAGTGGTCAAATCCTGACCTCAAATACACAACTTCCACTGATATCCTTATGAATAGGTTGCTTGTCTAACAGAATTTAGCTGCAGATACTATACATGTTTTCAAGTACGTGAAAAATCAAGGGAAGATTTTAAGATCGCCAAGCATTTAAAAACAAAATTCTACTGGACACCATTCCTAAAAGTTTGTTCTCATGAAAGTGTGCACAAATTCCAAAAGAAAACTGATAGTTTGCTTTTTTACCTGTGTCTTAGTTTCCCTCTGGCTTCAAATTCAAATGGAATCTCCTCACTAGTGAGAACTTCTCGCCACTCACTGACATTGTGCGCATCATCAAGAAACGTTCCATTTTCCTCAGAAATGACACCTGGACTCCCACTGTGAGATAGCGCTGCACTGTAAAAAGAATTACATTAGACTAAAACTTCTATGTATTTGTACATATTCCTGAACAAAAAGCCAATTTAGCAACACAATATGGTAAAAACTAGCATAGGAGAGAAAACTAAGGACTCTGAAAAAAAATTGTCTAATATAAAAGGTCTCTAAAAGGTTTAACCAGAAAAATCAAATGTACTGGCAACTATGGGAATGCTTCAGTGCTCAAAAGGTGGTCATGATTAGACCAATTTTTTTTGTTTTAAGATCCAATATGAATAAAAGTGGGGTTTTTTCCTTTTTCGTCCCCTTTTTATAATTTTTTTTCCAAAATGTCATTATGCTTCCTCATAGCTTAATCTCACAAATTTTTGAATTAAAAAAATTCAACAGAAAACAAATCTACTCTTATCCTTTTTCACAGCATCTGCATGGCAAATATTGTTACAATGACACTAGAACAGTTCTTTACCGGGTAGGTGTAGTAGTTAGGGTAGCAAACCACAGAGTACATCCTGTGTGATTCCGCAGCGCAAATGGTACAAAGGGTTGTCTGCGTTTTGGGGTCTTCATTTCAGCTATAAAAGAATAAAAGAGGTTTGTTTATTAAATGTAACTCACAGAAACATGTTAGGTGTTGATGAAAATTAGTGGAGATGCCTTAGTTACAAAAAATCAAAGAGTCTAGAGAATCAACACACACACACACACACACACACACACACACACACACACAGTGAAAAAGAAAAAAAAATAGAAATCAAAAACATAATAGATATATAAAAGAACTTTTACATACACACTTAGAAGCATATATTTAATAGTTAAGTCAAATGTCCGCTCTGAAACTAAAGGCCTATATTCACAGGACAGGTATACAGTGAACAAAAAAAGATTTTCCCCTTCACAGTCTTATCAATCTGCATGAGCCCCAAATGTTCAGTGATGATGATTATTTTGTTGATAGATTTCCATCTACAAACTGGACTGAGTTCACCAACACATTTCTTATACTGGAAACTCCTGCATTACAATGGCCCAACTTGCAACTCCCCGCACTTACAATCATTTTTGTAAGTGCGGAAGGGCCCGAAAAACCCTGACTTACGTCCTTGGCCGGCATTTACAATGGTGCACGGCGCCTACTGTTAATGAGGGTTCGAGTTACGACGCCCCCAACTTGCGACGCTTCCCCAGGAACCAATCGCATCGCAAGTCAGGGGCCGCCTGTATGCCCAGCCACTCGTGACATGGGAACCACATACTGTTACTACAGTTTGAATCTCTCTAATACGGCAACCTGAGAACTTGACCTGCGCACAATCAGAGAATTTGTTGAACCACGGAAGGTCAATATTATCTAGCAGCATTACCATCACTTCCACTGCTTACTGGGCTCTTAGAAGACATTTAGGGATAAATTAGAGCTAAACAACAGCACAGAATGCTGTAAACAAACTTCATGGGGCTGCAATTAACTCAGCCACACCCATGGTAAGTGGATATCTGATTATCTAAAATCATGCCAGACCACAGATATTGCTGGACCACAGAGTTCCAGATGAGAGGTTCAAGTTGTACTAATCTGAGCTAGATTTAAACCATCAGCTAAAGAAGAGAAGTTGTACATTACTCACTACAGACCATTGAGCCATCCAGTATCCACCTAAATGTTATTTTTTATCATTAAAATAACAGCAAGTCAGAAATAGATTTCCTGCATAGCTTAAGGTCATTTTAGATCATAAAGTAAACAAAATCAACCTGAAAGCATCTCAATTAAAAACCAGAAATGTTAAAATGTAGAAAGCTACAAAAACATTGAATAATGAAGTTCATCTATCATATGTGACCTTTTTAATATAATAGAGTATATCAAGAATGTTTCTCTAACAAGAGCAGATGGTACCCTGCTATTTCCTATACCATTGTACTCTGTCAGTTAAGTCTATTGTCATAACAGGATATTGGTTCTGACTGACAAAAACAAATGGTCTACTTCAAAGGGCTATTTTATTTTTGTAAAAGAAAAGTGACTGCTCACTATACCCAATCATCAGGAAAACAACACCAGAACAAAATGTTTTTAAAAAATATAAAGGGAATGAAGCCTGGCATATTGCTCAGAAAAAAGCACAATATTTAACTGTTGCCTTTCACTGCCAGAGGATTCAGAAGTAACAACATAGAAATTTAATATTATAATTGACTATAATTAATCTTTTTTCAAATATAAATGACTGTTTCTAATGGTAAATCATTGCCTTTATTTTAAGATGAAAATCCAAGTAAGTACAGGTATGTCCATAATTCAACAGTTCTCATATTCTGAGGACTTATTCTCCAACCACCACAATAATTACTAAGTTTAGCAGGAGTTATTTGTATCTTGAAGCAAGTCTGGGGTGGTCAATAAGCAACCCATAGGCTAAACATGGTTCACCGGGATTAGCTGTTGGTGGGCCATCAGACACTTTATTTATCTGTGCATCTACAGTTAGGGCAACTCATGGCTTACATTGTCTGCAAATTGCTGTTTCCAGCCAATGGGAGCTACAGGAAGTGATGCAGACTAGGACATTGCTTCTCACAGCTCCCATTGGCCAGGAACAGTGATTTGCAGCCAATGAGAGCTATGAGCAGCATTACCTGCAGACCTTAAGGTAGATAAAGCACAAACCGTTACGAAGCACATCCAGCCCTCAGGCTATTTATTGCCAATCCCTGCTCTATATTTTCTATAGCTATTGGGGCAGACCCCCAGCAGGTGCAAGTTGTCATAGCTCAAATGACTTTAATAAAGCTGTAAAAGCTACTTAGAATTTGTCCCATGAAATACAGAAATTTATCAGTGGATAACTCATAGAATATAACAGCCAAGGGTTTAGTACTATGCAGGTTGTTCAGCTACTTACTCATACTACGGTAATAAAATAAGTTTTCTTCGCTTGCTGTCACCCTGACACACACCTTATCTTATTTACTCTGACACTTTTATACGTTCTTATGGCAATATAAATGCTGAAAATATATAGAATTAAAAGTGAAAGCACTTAAAAACATCACAAAGCTTCTGAACAAAGTAATTAGGACTGCCTACCAATAAAAAAAACTTTACAGTGGTCTACACCTACAAACATACCAACAAGTTGCCAAAACAGTATATTCTTTAATATATTACTGATCATCAGATTCAACATTATTCCAAACAGTGAATGGAAAAGAAGGCCTGTATTCTTAATAAGATCAGCTATGACTTAAAACTAATTCCATTGAAATTGATTATAACATTTCCAGTCATTACAAAGACAGGAAGATTAAGTCATTCCAGATTAAAAAAATTCTTCTACCAATAGCAGGTTCACAATAATCTTTCTAACTAATTCAGTAAAATATAACTGCTTCCAGTTACATAGGATTACAGAGCAGAAGAAAAACGAGCATTTTTAATTTAGACTTAATCAGTTGTTGATTTATAATTTCAAGAGCAATTGCAAAATAAATTTTTGGACCGTGTCAACAATTTTATGGCATGATGACTTTCAAAATAGAACATGCTGTAAGGATTGTAGCTTCTCAAACTGATGATTCAAAATATCGGAAATCACAACTCAGAAGGACTTTTTTGCATCAGTTGCATGTTTTTTCTTTTATTTCCACTCTCATTAAAGTAATTAAAGTAAAAGTGTAAAATATTGCAATTTGGCAATTCAGTAATCAAATTTTGGAGGAACACAGAAGTTCTTATTTAGGCAAGGTTTTCAATTGTATATACAATATTCGGACTGTATCTGCATCTCATTTTAGTACAAAAACTTATTAAAGGATATAAGCAAACTAAGTGATTATTCTTCTTTATTCGGCTCTGGTGAGGCCACATCTGAAGTATTGTGCCCAGTTCTGGGCCCCCAACTACAGGAAGGATGTGGACACATTGGAGATGGTCCAGCGGAAGGTGACCAAAATGATTAGGGGGCTGGAGCATATGACCTAGGAGATGAGGCTGAGAGATTTGGGTTTGTTTGGTCTACAGAAGAGAAGAGTGAGGGGGGATTTGATAGCAGCCTTTAACTTCCTGAAGGAAGGTTCCAAAGAAGCTGGAGAAAGGCTGTTCACAGTAGTGATGGATGGCAGAACAAGGAGCAATGGTCTCAAGTTGCAGTGGGAGAGGTCTAGGTTGGATACTAGGAAATACTATTTCACTAGGCGGGTGATGAAGCACTGGAATGGGTTACCTAGGGAAGCGGTGGAATCTCCATCCCTAGAGGTTTTTAAGTCTCGGCTTGACAAAGCCCTGGTTGGGTTGATTTAGTTGGGATTGGTCCTGCCTTGGGCAGGCGGCTGGACTTGACGACCTCCTGAGGTCTCTTCCAGCTCTATGATTCTATAATGTATTCAAGAAATTAAATCCCCATATAGTTTCAAAATTTTTAACTTTTCTTTGAGCCTATCAACTATCTATGCACCAAGTATACACTTTTATGAAATGAGAGATAAAATAACTTCAAATGCAGTTTTATTACAAGCTTTTCCCCCAATAATTTGTTAGCCTTTTCACATGGGAAATGACTTCTGGCAAACATGTTGTTTAATGTTCCATAATGGCTCAATTGAAAATAACTTGTTATTTTAAACAGAAAATCTGTAAAAGAGCAGTCCTGTGCCATCTAGAGACTAACAAATATATTAACTTCTCATTGCCTTTAAAGTTAGGCTATGTCTAGACTACACTGAAGTTTTGAAAGAATATGCAAATTCTTTGGAAATTGGCATATAAAACGGATCTTTCGAAAGTGAAAGCAGTCTGGACGCGTTTTTTCCGCAAACGCCTCCTTTTTTCAAAAACCGCGAAAACTTCAGTTTTTTGAGGAAGAGCAGCTTTTCGAAAAAGGGGAGGTTGACAAAAAACACATCGACTACTTTTGAAAGTGAGATTGGAAGAAGATATGCAAATTCCCGCTCAATTTGCATATCCTCTTTCATAGACTACTTCAGCGTAGTCTAGAAGAGCCCTTACAGACTAATACGGTTACCACTCTGAGGCTATGTCTACACAGCTTCCCTCTTCCACAAAAGTCTATGCAATGAAGCACAGGAAAAATGAGGAAGAACAGCTCTTGCGCAAGAGGGGGGTTTTGCGCAAAAAGGCGCTGTGTAGACGGTACCTTTTTGCACAAAAACAGCTCCTAATTAATTATACAAATGAAGCGCAGCAATATGCTAATCCATACTTCATTTGCATACACCTCTGCAGAAGAGGAAAGCTGTACAAACGTAGCCTGGGCCTTTTTGGCAAAAAGACAGTAGAAGTTAATCATGTAACAAATAAATTAACATTTCAATTATTAAAAATGTTTTACTTTCTGATGCTCATTGAAAATCAATATGTTTTTCAAATCATCCTAATTTTTATTACCTGGATATATAAACTGATTACAGCAGGGCTATCCAGATTATCTTGGTGTGTAAATATTTAGAGGACTTGCCTATCCACAGAGACATTTCTACCAAACTTCTACTCTACTGCCTAGAAAATGGATTCAAAGCAGGATATGATTCCTCTTTCATTCCCTCAAGGAGAATGCTTTCCTAGATAGGACGACTGCTCTACTTCCCTTCCTGCT